TGCACTCTGCTTTATAGCCAAACTTTTTTGAAAGAGTTTGTCTACATTTCCTATACATCTCCATTTCTTCACTTGTAATATTCTTTTCAACCTATTTCTGTCTTGTTTCTGTTTCCACAGTTTCACTGAAACTGTTTTGCTGGGGTTAGTAATGTATTTAAAGCCAATGGTTAGTTTTCTGTCCTCTTTTTTAACCTCTTAGCGGCTGTACTAGATGTCTGTTGATATGCAACAAATTACCCCCAAACGTAAAACGACAAACATTTATTGTTTCACGGTTTCTGCAAGTCAGACACTTCTGAGTGTGGCGTGTCTGATTCAGGGTCACTCATAAGGCTGCAATCAAATGTTGACTAGGACTGCAGTCATCTCAGCTTGACTAGGGGAGGTTCTGCTTCCAAGCTCACTCATGTGGCTGTTGCAGGCCTGAGGTCCTTGTTGGTTGTTGCTGGAGAAATCAGTCTCTTTACCATTTGGGTTTCTGCTAGTGGTTAAGATTCCATGCTCTCACCACCGAGGCCTGGGATTGTTTCCTGATCAGGGAACCACACCACCCGTCTGTGTCATACTGTGGCAGCTGTGTGCTGTGGTGATGCTGAGAGCTCTGCCACCAGGATTTCAAATACCAGCAGGCTCACCCATGGTGGGCAGGTTTCACTGGAGCTTCCAGAATAAGACAGACTAGGAAGAAGGACCTGGCCACCCACTTCCAAAAAACTTTGCCATGAAAACCCAGTGAATTGTAGCAGAGCATTGTCTGCTATAGTGTCAGAAGGTGAGAGGATGGCTCAAAAAGGCTGGGCAGGGTTCCCCTCTGCTGCACACGGGGTCGCTGGGAGTTGGAATCGGTTCCCCGGGCACTAACAGCAAAGGTAGGACTACTCGCAGTCTGGCACCTTGCTTCTTGATTGAGAGCTCTGTGGAGGAGGAAGGGAGATATTAGCCAGAGTCTATTTGTAACCTAGTCTCAGAAATGACATTCTGTCACTTTTGCTGTATTCTGTTCATTAGAAGGGAGTCACTAGGTCCAACACACACAAGGAGGACTTCCACAAGAACGTGAATTCTGCTAGGAGGCAGAGATCGTTCAGAGCTGTTTGCAACATTGCCTACCACAGCAGCATTTGACACAGCTGATTTCTCTACCTCCTGTAAAACTCACATCTTTTGGGGTCTTCAGATCATCCTCCTGTTTTTCTTCCTTGTTCTCTGGTCTCTCTTTCTCAGTCACCTTTGTTGATCTTTCTATACCCATTCATTAAATGTTTGAATTTCTGTGGGTGAACTCATCTCCTATTTGATTTTCCATCTGTATGTGGAGCATTCATTTTTCTGTCTTCAACCTTTACCTCTCCCCTTAGGACCATTGTTACTCAGTATTTTCATTTGGATGCCTCTTAAACTCAACACATCCAAACTAAATGTGTGATTCCTGCTCTTCTCTGGTGTTCCTTAATTCATTAAATGACACTACCAGTTCTTCAAGCCAGAAATATGTGAATTCTTGAATTCTCCGGCTGCTCCACCTTCCATTTTACTGTTCCCTGTTGATTTTGTAAAAGTCATTGTTGTCCAGTGATGGTGTGAATGTTTTTATGAGGTAGTGCATCCCCTGTCACGTTCCAAGCATTGAATGAATGTTTGCTAGGTGAGTTGAAGGTTCCTTCCAATCTTGAGATACTGTATTGGTAGCTATTGAAGGTTTGTAATTTAGGAGACACATTGTCAGAGGTGTGCTTTAGAATTGTAGCAACTCTTGAAGGCATTAAAAAAAAAGTCTTTATTTTTTAGAGCAGTTTTAGGTTCACAGCAAAATTGAGTGGAAGGTGCAGAGATTTCTGATAGACTCCCTGCCCCAACACGTGCATAGCCTCTCCCATTATCAACATCCCACACTAGAATGGAACATTTATTATAAATGGTGAACTGTCATTAACACGCCATCACCCAAAGTCTTTATGACTCTTATTTTTAGTGGTTCATCAAGAATGAAACTAAACCTTGTGTTCCCTTTAACTTGCTTCATTGTGGTGTGCCCTGTGAGTAGACAGTGCTTTTCACCTGAGAGCCCCTTTATGTGTATACATATATATATTTTAAATTTTTTCCTTATTTTTTTGTTTTTCTTTTTTGTTTGAAAGCCCTTGTATGGAAATTAGATAACTAATGGAAAAAACCTGTCTGAACTTCAGTTAAACATCTTTGAAATTGTGAAAATATTTCCAGAAATAAAAGTTTGGACTTAAGCATTTTATATAACTTATTGATTGAAGGAATTAATTCCTCTTTGAAGCTGTTCTTGAATAACACTCATATAGAAAAGTATATAAAACAAATGTATAGCTTAGCAACTTACACTTGTATAACGATCATCTATCCCAAACGCTAGGACCTTGCCAGCAGTCGAGAAACTTTCTTTGCCCCTTCCCAGTCACAACACACTCCTTCCCCCAGAAGGGTAACTAGTGTCCTGACTTTTATGAGAATCATTTTCTTGCTTTTCTTTGTATATAAACCTATAGTGTAGTTTTGCCTGTTTTCCAGCGTTATGTACATGAAATCATATTGTAGAGATCTTTTTATGTCTTGCTGCTTTGACTGAACATTTTGTTTGTGAGATTTAAGATTTGTTGTGTGTAGCTGTAGTTTGTTCATTTTCATTGCTAAGTAGTGTTCCGTTATATAAATACACCACAATTTATCCATAATTTAATGATAGATATGTAGATTGTTTTCACTTTGGGGGCATTATGAATTATGCTGCTATGACCATTCTTGTGCAAGTCTTTTGGTGCATAGATTTTTGATGCCTATGTTGCCAGCAGTGGAAGTGCGGCATCATAGAGTTGATAATTGCCAAACGATATTCTTAGGTGACTGTATGAACTGAAATGCCCCAAAGCGTGTTTGAGAGTTCCTTGTATTATATATCCTTGCCAATACTTGGTGTTGTCAGTGTCATTGTTTCAGCCATTCCAATGAAATTATTTATACTTCAGGTATACTTTATACTATTGATAGTAGTATCTCCTGGTTTTAATTTGCATTGACTGATTACTAGTGAAGTTCAACACCTTTGTATCTTTTGGTCATTTGGAAAACCTTTTGTGAAGTGATTATTCAAATATCTTGCTCAATTTTCTGTTTGTCTTTCTTATTCTAATTAACTTATAGGAGTTAAATATTTTGGATATGAGCCCTTTGTTGGTTATTTATGTTGCAAATATTAATCTGTGGCTTGCCATTTTGCTCTCTTAATGGTGTCTTTTGAAGAACAGTATTCTTAATTTTAGTGTAGTCCAATTAATGTTTTCCTTTATGGTTAGTGCTTTTTATGGCCTGTTTAAGAAGTTTTTCCCTGGCCAGCTCCGGGGGCCCAGTGGTTAAGTTCAGCATGCTCTGCTTTGGCGGCCCAGGTTGGTTCCTGGGTGTGGACCTACCCCACTCATCTGTGACCATGCTGTGGTGGCAGCTCACATATGAAAAGAGGAAGATTGGCAGTGGATGTTAGCTCAGGGCAAATCCTCCTCAGTAAAAAAAAAAAAAAAAAAAAAAAAAAAAAAGAAGTCTTTCCCTCTCTGAGGACATGAAATTATTTTCTTTTATGATTTTATGGAAGTGTTGTTGCTGTAGTTTTCTCATATAGCACTGTGACCTGCCTGTAATTGATTTTTGTGTATGCTGTGAGGTAGAAATTGAGGTTTATTTTTTTCCCCATGTTGTTAGCTGATTTCTCAGCACCATTTATTGACAATTCCTTCCTTTTTTTCAACTGCTTTGTAATAAATTAAGGCACTCTATGCTGTTCCTCTGGTTTCTCTATCTTGGTCCAATGCCAGACAGTCTTAGTTACTGGAGCTTTATAGTAAGCTTAATGCCTCATAGAGTGCATGCTTCCCTCCTTGTTTTGCAAGAATGTCTTCTTTGACATTCAATGTCTGTCAATGACTGTCATGATCAGTAATCGAGACAGTGTGGTATCAGCATAGGGGTGGATGTATGCATCAGTGGAACAGAATAGAGAGTCCAGAAATAAACCCACACATTTATGGTTAATTGATTTTCAACAAAGGTGCCATGGTAATTCAATGGAGGGAAAGATAGTCTTTTCAGCAAAAGGTACTACAATAATTGGATGTCAATATGCCAAAAAAATGAACTTCAAACCTTACCTCATAGGAAAAAATCTTTGAGACCTTGGGTTAGGAAAGGATTTCTTAATATGGCACTGAAAGTATGACTCATAAAAGAAAAATATTGGTAAGTTGGCCTTTATCAAAATTAAAAAGTTTTGCTTTTTTAAAAAATTTTGTTTTAAAAGATTTTATTTTTCCTTTTTCTCCCAAAGCCCCCCAGTACATAGTTGTGTACTTTTAGTTGTAGGTCCTTCTAGTTGTGGCATGTGGGATGCCCCCCCATCGTGGCCTGACGAGTGGTGCCGTGTCCGCACCCAGGACTCGAACCGGTGAAACCCTGGGCCGCTGAAGCAGAGCGCGAGAACTTAACCACTCGGCCAAAGGGCTGGCCCCAAAAGTTTTGCTTTTTAAAAGAATCCATTAAGAAAAAAAGAGACAAACCACAGAATGGGAGAAAATATTTGCAAATTATATATCTGATAAAGGACTTGCATCCAGAATATCTAAAGAACTCTTACAACTAAATAGTAAGACAAACAGCTTCCCCCAAAATGGGCAAAAGATTTGAATAGACCCTTCACCAAAGATGTACTCATGGTAATAAGCACTTGAAAAAGATACTCACCATCAACAATCAATAGGGAAATGCAAATTAAAACCACAGTGTGATACCAGTACACACCCACCAGAATGGCTAAAATCGAAAGACTGAATTACCAAATGTTTGCAAGGATGTGGAGAAACTGGGACTCTAGTACATTGTTAGTGGGAATGTTAAATGTTATAGCCATTTTGGAAAACAGTTTGGTAGTTTCTTAAGTTAAATATATATTTACTGTATGTCCTCAACCATTTGACTTTTAGATGTATACCCAAGAGAAAAGAAAACACATGTTCACACAAGACTTGTATGCAGATGTTCATAGCAGCATTATTCATAATAGCAAAAACTGGAACCATTCTGAATGTCCATAGCTGGTGAGTTTATAAACAAAATATAGTATATTCATATAATGGAATGCTACTGAACAATAAAAAGGAACTACTGATAAGTTTAACAATGTAAATGAACCTCAGAAATGTTTTGCTGGGGCTGGCCCTGTCACTGAGTGGTTAAGTTCACGTGCTCCACTTCAGTGGCCCAGGGTTTCAAGCTGATTCGGATCCTGGGCACTGACCTAGCACTGCTCATCAAGCCATGCTGAGGCGGCGTCCCACATAGCAGAACCAGAAGGACATACAACTAGAATATACAACTATGGACTGGGGGGCTTTGTGGAGAAGAAGATTTTTAAAAAAAGATTGGCAACAGATGTTAGCTCAGGGCCAATCTTTAAAAAAAAATGTTTTGGTAAGTGAAAAAACTGCCAGTTTATTTATTTATTTTTTTTACAAAAGTAGTTTTTTTTTTGTTTTTATTTTTTATCTTTCCTTCTTCTCCCCAAAGCCCCCCAGAACATAGTTGTGTATTCTAGTTGTGGGTCCTTTTACTTGTGGCATGTGGGATGCCACCTCAGCATGGCCTGATGAGCGGTGCCATGTCCGCGCCCAGGATCCAAACCTGCGAAACCCTGGGCCGCTGAAGTGGAGTGTGCCAACTTAACCACTAGGCCATGGGGCTGGCCCCTGCCAGTTTATAATTTTATTTACATGGAATTTCTAGAAAAGGCAAATCAGTAGTTCTGGCGCTAGGGTGGGAGTGAGGATTAACTGCAGATGGGCATAAGGGAACTTACTGAGGTGATGGAAGTGATCTGAAACTGGGTTGTGGTGATGGTGGCACAACTATGTAAATTTAGTAAAACTCATCCAACTATACATTTAAAATGGATGAGTTTTATGGTATGTAAATTATGACAATAAAGCTGTTTTAAGAGAAGAATGTTTTGGTTATTCCTGGTCTGTTGTATTTCCATATAAATTTTAGAATCAGTTTGTCAAGTTAAAAAGAAATTATGTCAGGATCCTGATTGAAATTATGTTGTGTTTGTAGATTAATTGGGTAAAATTACTTCTTTATAATATGGAGTCTTTCAGTCATTGAATATAGTATTTCCATTTATTTATGTTTTTCAGATCTCTCAGTAATGATTTGTAGTTTTCTGTGCAGTATTCTTACACATCTTTTGTAGATTTAGTCCTAGGTATTTGATGGTATTATAAATGGGATTTTAAAATAAATTTTATTTTCTGTTGTTGGTATATGGAATAAAATTGAATTTGAATATTGACTTTGTGTTTTCCCAGAATCTTATGAATTCTAATGATTTATCTGTAGATTCTCTTGGATTCCTACTTATATAATCATGTTATTTGTGCGTAATTACTGTTTTGTGTCTTTCCTTGCAATTCTTACACCTTTTCCTTGCCTTTTGGCTAGGATCTCTGGCATGTGGTTGAACAGAGTGGTGATAGGAGACGTCCTTGTTATTTTCCCATCTCAAAGAGAAATTGTTGCACTTTTCACTATTAAGTATGATATTGCTAAGCACACACACACACAAGACAAGGCAAGGCAAAGGCCAAGGCCTGACTAATTTGACTGGTATAGATACAGTGGGCCCTTTAGACTTAGGCAGTTTATCACTTAGATGGGCAATGGAAACATAAATAAGCCAAAGGTGGCAGCTCCCTGTGACCCGTAACTCAAAAGGATGACGCCAAAACAAAAACATTGCCGACAACTACAGTGTGAGCTGTGAGATGCCCTTTTGATGAGGAGCCCGTTCTGATTTGCTCCTAAGGGGTTTTGTATTCTACACCTCTGTTCTGAGATGAGCAGGGCTGAACCTGATGCTTCCTTAGAGTCCAGACAGCGATGTATTCATGACACCCTCTAGGGGAGAGAGGGAAGTGGTGGGAAGTGGCCTGCGGGCGGGTCCTGTGGGCCTCGCATCCTGTCCTGTTCTAGGGCATCACAGGGCATTCTACCAAGAGTCAGATAACTGCAGGTCACTACGGGTGGAGCAGCAGAGCTGTTCCCCTGCAGATCCTTGTTATTTGCTTTTGCACATATCCTTTATTAGATTAACAAAGTTTCCTTTTATTCCTAATTTGTTAAGATTTTTAATCAGTAATAAATGTTAAACTATACCTGATGCATTTTCATGTCCGTTGAGAAAATAATTTTTTTTCTTTTGACCTGTTAATGTGGCTAACTACATGGATTTTTAAAATCATTTCTACTGGTTAAAGAAGTTCTTACCATTTTTTTTCTTTTAAAAGCTTTCACTTATTTGAAAAAAATTGATAGAGACTTTCTTCTCTCTGGCTGCCTGCCTTTTTTTCACCGTGTATATATATATATATACTTTTCTCCTTGTACATACAGAATTTACTGTTGCTGACCCTTCCAAAGAAGAAGACTAATTTGAATTTAAGATTAATCAATATGAAGTTATTAAAGATCTAAGAGACTCACAGGATTTCTTCTGAAACAAGAAGTAGCTATGTCTTACATCTTTTTTTTTTTTTTTAAGATTTTATTATTTCCTTTTTCTCCCCAAAGCCCCCCGGTACATAGTTGTATATTCTTCGTTGTGGATTCTTCTAGTTGTGGTATGTGGGACGCTGCCTCAGCGTGGTCTGACGAGCAGTGCCATGTCCGCGTCCAGGATTCGAACCAACGAAACACTGGGCCGCCTGCAGTGGAGCGCGCTAACTTAACCACTCGGCCACGGGGCCAGCCCCCTATGTCTTACATCTTTTTGAGTACATCCCTTCTGATCATTTAGCATACATCCCTTCAGATACCACACAGGTGACTTCCGCCTTCATGGGAATGTTCATTCACTTTCATCAGTAGCTGGTAATTTTGAATATTTCAAATAGTTTGCATCCCTTTTCTAAACTGCTATACTAAATTTAGGCTGAACCTTTGCTTGATGTTTTTCTCCTCTGCATAAGTAGAGTTATTGAAAGTAGAGTTATTGGCCATTTCACTTGATTTTTCTGGTGGCTTTTCTAGTGGTTTGCTGGTAGTTAATTTTATAGTATTGTTAAGTTTCTGAATCCATTCTGAAATAATTTGATTATTTATTCTTATGCTTAGGGCTTGATATTTCTTAATTTTAATAGAGTAGCAGTTTTATCTGTTTCCCTGGTTGTTATTAAAAATAAGTTAATTGTTGGGGTTGGCCCGATGGTGTAGTGTTTAAGTTTGCATGCTCGGTGGCCTGGGGTTCACTGGTTTGGATCCTGAGTGCAGACCTGTGCACCGCTCATCAAGCCATGCTGTGGGAGATGTCCTACATATAAAATAGAGGAAGATGGGAACAGATGTTAGCTCAGGGCCAGTTTTCCTCAGCAAAAAGAGAAGAATTGGTGGCGGATGTTAGCTCAGGGCTAATCTTCCTCACCAAAAAGAAAAAAAAAAGAGTTAATTGAAAATGGATATAAATTCTTTAGGTTAAAATTCACAAATGCAGGTAATGTGTAATAATGTGTAAATATATATTTCTATATAGCAAGTATGTACTTTTTTTTTTTTTTTTTTGCTAAGGAAGATTTGCCCTGAGCTAACATCTGTGCCAGTCTTCCTGTATTTTAAATGTGGGTCGCCACCATAGCATGGCTAACGAGTATTGTAGGTCTGCGCCTGGGATCCAAACCCAAGAACCTGGCCTGCTGAAGTGGAGCACACTGACTGTAACTGCTACACCGTGGGGCCGGCCCCTGTAGGTGTATTTAAAAAAATTTTTTTAAAGCATGAATTAGGATTTCCTTGAAAAGTTCAGAATTAGGAGTTGATTCTTAACAAATTCATCTTACAATTCTTTTTTTACCCCCCCAAGATTGGCACCTGAGCTAACATCTGTTGCCAGTCCTTTTTTTTTTCCCTTCTTCTTGCCAAAGCCCCCTGGTATGTAGTTGTATATTCTAGTTGTAAGTTCCTGTGGTTGTGCTATGTGGGACGCTGCCTCAGCATGGCCTGATGAGCGGTGCCATATCCATGCCTGGTATCTGAACCAGTGAAACCCCAGGCCGCCAAAGCACAGCATGCAAACTTAACCACTTGGCTATGGCACCAGCCCCAAATTACAATTCTTTTAAATAGAATAGCAAAATATCTGCTTTACAAAATTTTTATTTTCATAATTGTCCAAGAGTACACATCTATTTCCTTTTTTCTTTTTTCCCCTTTCTTCCTTCATTCAAAGTATTTATGGAAAATCTAGTATACTTCCTTCATGTACTGTGACTCTCTTGTGCTCCATCTTAGCAATATAACGTTTGAGACACTGTCTCTGCCCTCAGGATGCTAGTGACTGGGAAGGGAGACAAGTAAACAGGCAATTTTCATAGAGCGTGGGAGTGTTAATGACAGGGGCAAGAACTGGAAGGTGGAAGGGAGTGGTGAAAGATGAGGTTGGAGATTGGGTTTAGATCATGAAGGGCTTTGTAAATTATATTAGAATCTGGAATTTTACCTTGGGGCGATGTGGCAAGACTTTTGAGTAAAGGAAATAAGTTTGTATTTACATTTTACAAAGAGTGGATAGGAGGAGGCTAAGTGAGGAGACCAACAAGGAGACTGGCGTTCATCTTGTGAAAGCCTGAAAGCTAAAGGAGTGACAGTGAGGATAGGGAAGTGCACAGAACTGAAGACTTTGAAGAGCATAGGACTGGGCTGTTCAGTATCTGTGTGTGTGTGTGTGTGTTTACTTTTGTAGGGGAAAGGACAGTTGACAGGAGACTAAGGTGACTCCCAGACTTTCATGTGGATCAAGTAGGCCAGAAGCAGTAGCCACTAGCCATATATGGCTATTTAAATTTAAACTAATTTAAATGAAATAAGATTTAAAATTCAGTTTTTAGTTGCACTAGCCATTCTTCATGTGCTCAGTAGTGGGGGCTAGTGGCCTCTGTATTGGGCAGTGCAGATATAGAACATTTCCTTTGTCGCAGAACGTTCTGTTGCACAGCACTGGTCTGCAAAGTCAAAATAACAGGTTATTCTTCAGTGTCCTGAGAACTCT